AAATTACCATATAATTTTTATATATAAATGTTAATTTATATATGTACATTTATAAGTATATTTAGATTGTTATAGGACACATACTCTTGCCCAAGAGACAGAGGGAGAGAGAGAGAGAGAGAGAAAGTGAGAAAGCATTCCTCAGGGGGATGACTACTCCACAATCATTTCTGCTCCATTCTTCTCTCAGAATTTTGAACATGAACTCATATGCCTGGTGTGTTTTTCAAGCTGCTGGGTCTGAGACTCAAATCCCGTTGTCAGCCACAGTGATTTCTCTAATGGTGGACAAACAGGCTGAAGTCTTGTTGAAGATTTCGTGCCTGGAGTTTTCTTCTTCTAAGATAACCGCAGGGAAGCAAACCATTTCAGTGTCTGAGCTGAGATGGAAAAGAAAGACTAACTCAACATAACCTCATACTAGAGAGGAAGGATAAGATTTGAGATTGGGATGTGAGTGAATAAGGAAGTGATGTAAGGATAAGTCATTTCTTCTTTTGCTTCCGTATCTGAAGTCTCTATACATATTGATGAAGTATATAGAGTGGACTATGGCCAACACCCCATGTGGGAATTGCCTGCCTCTCTTCCTTGGCTTTCTTTTTTATGATATAGCACCTGGAAAATCCTCAAGACAAAAGAAGACTAGATTATTTCTCAGACTATCTTCTCAAAGGGATTGCATGGAAAGGAACTAGAGAGATATGGGTTCCAAAATGAAAAGCAGTCCAAGGATTCTAGAAACTATTTCTCTCTGTAGTTAATTGGCCCCCCAGAGAGAATATGCTCCTGTTAACTTCAGAGTCACACTCCCCAAAACAGCTCATTTCCCTATGAACAAACTCCAAATAAAGTCATATGGGGATGCTTAGCTCAGTGCATTCAGCACAGCATAAGTGACATCTTGAGTATGGTTTCCAGGAGGGATTCAGGATGCATCCTCTGAGTAGGAATCCCTAATGCCATCTATTTAGGCTTCTCAGTTTGCCTCAGCTGACACCATAGGTGCTCAGGAGGATGCTTCATTTCTCACAGATGGTCCTTTTCTCTCGTGATTGGTTTACATTAGACTAACTCTGTCTTTATTCTAATCCCCATAATTACTGGTAAAGAAACATTTATGCAGTCTTGATTGGATAAGCCAAATTCATTTTTTATTAAGTAGTGAAGGAGGCATAAAGATAAGAAATACATGTGATAAAATTTAGAAAAAAAACAGAAAAGGAAGAAAGAAGAAGAAGAAAAGAAGAAGAAGAAGAAGAAGAAGAAGAAGAAGAAGAAGAAGAAGAAGAAGAAGAAGAAGAAGAAGAAGAAGAAGAAGAAGAAGAAGAAGAAGAAGAAGAAGAAGAAGAAGAAGAAGAAGAAGAAGAAGAA